GTAGTTAGTATATGTTGGTCACATCCAACTTATAATATTTCAAACTTTAAATATTTTTAATTTAATAACAATTTTTACTTTTTATAGTTTGTATTAGGGATGAACAAAATCGAATCGAAAACTGCAAATCGAGAAAAAAGTTTGACTAGTGATTTTGTTTGAATTGGTTTGGTATTGGAAAAAAAAGTGACTATACTTGAGTTGGTTTAGTTTTAACTTTAAAAAGTCAATCTCAGACCAAACCAACCCGACAATATATATTATATATATACGTTGATGAATCAAGAAAGGGAAAACAATCCTGCTAGAATCCGATTGAAGATACGTTTTAATATAGTCATCTAATTAGTGCATACATTAAGGCCAAGTTGAATTTTTCAAATGAATTTGGGTCAATGATTTAGATTAGACATTAAGTAGAGGACCTGGACAGAAAATTAAAAAAATAGTATTTCAACTGAGGATGATTACTTAAGCATCTAATTAGAAATTAAGAGGAGTTGACTGTAGGAAAATGAAATTTTAGAAAAATTAAAAAGAAGAAAAGCAAATAAGACTGATTATGAGCTTTGACCCGAAGCCATGACATTTCATGGAACCAACCCTTACTATTTTTTTAATTGTTTTTATTGGAAGCAATATTATGGTAATAATTCAGATTATTTAAAATAATTGGGACATTAGTTATTAACATGTGTAAGTGTGATTGAGTGGAAGATTATATCAGTTGAAGAAGGAGGACATAATTTTAATGTTACAAAGTTTCCCCTTATAAATACTTTCTTAACCAAATTTAAATGATTTTCATATTTTTTAAGGAAATTTCACAAATAGCCACTAAAAATTACTACTTAATTAGGCTTCATAGTTATAGTTTGCTAATTAAGATTCGTAGCTATATGTAGGAGGGAGGAGAGGAGAGAGACTAGCAAGGTTAGGAGAGGGAGGAGAGAGGCAAGGGAGAAAGGGCAAAGAGTGGAGAGATGTGAATTGTATTTGTATATCTGTAGAATTGTATATGTATATCTGTCAATAATTGTATATATGTAACTGATATACATGTTATTTGTATATTTGGTGAGGGAGATTGGGAGAGGGAGGAGAGAGGCGAGCAAGAGAGGGCAGAGAGTGGAGAGAGATGAATTGTATTTATATATTTGTCATATAATTGTATATGTATATGTATAATTTGTATTTGTACATGTATATGTGTAATTTGTATTTGTATATGTATATGAGATGAGAGTGTAGAGAATAGCAAAAGAAAAGTATAATCGGAGAACCCTTCTGCTAGCCCAAGATCGTTAACTAAGATCGGAAGATTCAACTAAAGAAGAGGAAGCTAGAAAGGAGAACTTATTTATGGAAGAAGACTATTTTATTTAGGTTGTTCTTAGGTTGTCTTGGGTTGCTTACAAATGTACACGACCACCCATATTTATACTTGTTCATGGATGGTTCTAGAAATTCTTCTAGATACTTTTACAAAAAAAATTCTAGCGAACTTTATCTTCTAGTATCTAGATATTTTTTAAGATAATTATCCTAGATATTATCCTACACTATTCTAGAAACATTACTTGAACAATCTATCATATCCCCAAAAAATCAACTTTAACTTTTTCACGCTCCCCCTTAAAGTGATTTTTTGAAAACTATCCCACACTTGTCACGGAAGAACTCAAACGAAGCTTTGAGCTACGTCTTGGTGAAAATCTCAATATTTTCTTCCGAACTCCTCTTCCTTCTTCAAATGATAAAGATTTTTCATCGTCAGTTGATCCATGTAGATTATCTCCTTGTTGAGTTCTCAAACTCCCCCTTTCTCTTAACTTCTCAACAGTTATATTATCCAGAAAAGCACTATAAATTTCCCGTGAAGTCTCAACACCAACATAAGATCCTCTGTCATATTCTCTTATCATCTCCTCGATAGATTTTTTGGCAGCTTCAGAACTTTCAAAAATCATATTGTTTGTCTTTGAGACTTCAATATCAACTTCTTCCTTTATTTGATATTCATCATCTACATTTGCTTCCAATATTTGATCAAAGTCAAAGATTGACCTTAATATGGCTGACGATTGATCAGAGACTTCAACTTCCCATACATCTTCCCCAATACTTTCTCCATAAAGGTCACCATCGGCATATGTAGCTCCAGATACTGCTTGTTCATAATTTATTTCCTTGATTTCTTCGATAGAAACTACCATATCACCAGCATGAACATCTTCAAGAGTTTCTTGCTTCATGTCGATGACATCAGTGTCTTGCTTCTCCACGTGGTTGGCTATATTATTTTCTAGATCCTTGATCAAGTCTTCTTCAAGGTTGATGGAAACCATAGCATCTATTGCTCGAGCCTCAACTACTAAACAATTTTTCCAGTAATTTTCCCAGCCTTCTTCTTCTTCAGCAATTTTTTGAGCCAAATTGCTCTCTTTGGCTCGACAATATCTTTTTATATGTCCTACTTCACCACAACGATAACATCTGAGAGGCTTCTTACCGTAATAGTTAGAAGACTCTTCCTTCTTTCCAGGCAAGCTCGAACCACCCGAGGATCGAAAGTGCGACATAACTCTTGATTTTCCTTTAAAGTTTCTCTTGTCGGCTACAAGAGCATCTCCTTCTCCATCTTTGACAAACACACTAGCCAACTGCTTGGCTAGTAATTCCTGTGACGACAACAAATTTTCAAACTCCTCCAAGGATGGTTGTTGAGCCCATCCTTGAATCAACATCACAAACGGAATATATTCAGGCTTCAAATCACGAATGACAATTCTTCTCATTCGTGCTTTCGAGATAGCCTCTTCCGGATTCAACAAGGATATCTCAGAACATAAGTTCTTAATTTTTAAAAAATACTCGGCAATAGAAAGATTACCTTGAATAGTGTTAGCCAATTCATTTTCCAATATTTGCAGTCGAGCTTCATTCTTCTTGTTGAACAAGTGATCGAGGGTCCTCTATATTTCATGAGCTGATTTACACTTTATAATGTGATCAAATAAATCGGAGGAGATTGTCCTCTTCAGAATGAACTCTGCCTTCGCATTAATCTGCTTCTACTTCTTGTACGCACTACTATTTTCCGGTCCGTCAGCAGGAGGTCTTGTGTTATTCCCATTAACATCCCACAAATCCTCTCCCACAAGGTATGATTTCATACATGTCTTCCATACCTTGTAATTGGACTGATTCAACAACTTCATCCCCAGTCCATTAACACGACCGCTAAAATCCAGATAGACAAACCAGTTGAATTAACCACCAACCCGATCTTGAAATAACACCCACAAGCCAATCCACGGCTATGGATGGCTCTGATAACATGTAGAGAATAGCAGAAGAAAAGTATAATCGGAGAGCCCTTCTGCTAGCCTAAGATCGTTAATTAAAATCGGAAGATTCAACTAAAGAAGAGGAAGCTAGAAAGGAGAACTTATTTATGGAAGAAGACTATTTTATTTAAGTTGTTCTTAGGTTGTCTTGGGTTGCTTACAAATGTACAAGACCACCCATATTTATACTTGTTCATGGATGGTTCTAGAAATTCTTCTAGATACTTTTACAAAAAAAATTCTAGTGAACTTTATCTTCTAGATAGCTAGATATTTTTTAAGATAATTATCCTAGATATTATCCTACACTATTCTAGAAACATTACTAGAACAATCTATCATATTCCCAAAAAATCAACTTTTTCACCGAGAGAGCTAGGTGAGAGAGTTGTATAGGTGATCCCAACTAATTTGAGAATGATACATATGTTTTTCTAATTTTGTAATTGCTGCAAATTCACCAAATATATGATCCTCTTAGGATAGTTGTCTTGGGCAAGAAATAATTAACCCATGAGATGAATGAAGGATATTTACCGAGGCTTTTTGTTGGAATAATTGGTTCGGAGGTGTGTCGGTGAAGTTCTTGTTATCGAGATCACATGAAAATTATCATCATTGGGAAAAGTGTGAGAATTCGTGGGGGTGTTGATGATGCGGCAAAAAGACAAATATATCAGATATGTTTATACGTTATCCTGCATGCAAATAACAAAGATATATATTTGCCGATAGTACCCAAGGCCCAAGGGGTTGAGTTCATGTTAAACACTACCCCATAAAATTAAATAGAGTTAAGGTTGTGTACATGATCGATTATCTATCAACTAATAAGTCATAGCTTACCCTACTTAACTCATGCATACACATCCTTTCCAGAATTGTTTCTAACATTATGGTTTAATTTTCTTCCTTAGCTGATCCTACCGACAGTACACTTCTTTTTATTTCTATCCGTACTGGTGCCCCAAAATCACGCGTTACAAAACTTATTTTGAAATAGCGCTCCCCACATAATTTTCTCTCAAACCCAAAACCTATGGTTAAGAATACCAACAATACACTTTAAGTCTCAATGATCTTCACAGACAGTAGACTCAAATCTTCTACTTAGTTTTAATGCAGGACGTTGGGCTTCATTCAAAGTAACATAGTTTTGAAAACAAAAAGAGAAGCTTCACACAACCGCACTACTAAGAAAAACTGGATTTAGCGACGAACAATTTTTGTAGCCAAGCTAAGTAGCAAAACCTATCGCTAATCCAACTTAGCTATGAGTAAAATAGCGACAGGGATGGACTAGTAACGAAGTTTTTAGCTAAATGCAGTGTTTTTTTAGTAGTTACAAGAGTTATCACCATAAGTTCAAGCTGTAAAAATAGCTCAGGCAAAATTGCAAACAAAGCTGCATAGCTCGTACGGTAGACCTATTGTAATCCAACCCTTCTACAAACTCCAAAAATGATTATGCAAGCTGCATATCTTGTACATAGACCTAATGTAATCCAACCTTGCTGCAACCCCTTATGTGCATAATCGAAAAACCAAGTGTACGTATTGGATTGAGAGAAGATACGTACGTAGGAACCTACCATAACAAAAGACGGTAAACGACTCCCTTTCTTATCATGAGTCTTCTCAAACCAAAGGAAAACATTAGTTTATACATACAATTTTGAGAATACATACATTCTCAGTTCCTTCTTCCTTACCTCTGTCTGAATATGTACATGTACATGAGCTCTTCGCGACAAAAAAACAAAAAAAAACTCTTCCTCCTAACTTTTATCCCTTTTGACTATTCATTCATCACTGGAAAGAGTAAAAAGTGGAGAAAAAAAAGAAGACCCTCTTCTTCTTCAACACAAGCAATTGATCCATCAGTTTACTACACTAAATTTGGTCCACTATACAGTGCTCCAACTACAGTTAAGTCCTCAGGTTTCTCTCTCTCTTTGAGCCATGCATACTCACTTTGCTGTTCCTCTGGTACTGACAAGCCATTCACTGTACTTCCACAAACAAAAAGACAGGAAAACAAGAATCTTAGAATTAGGATGGATAATGTCAGACAGACCAAAAAAAATTCCATATTTAGAATGTTATTTCAAGTACAATCAATCAGTTGATTTACTATTATGGGAAAATGTCCATTCTGTTAAATTAGGTCTTAGGCCTAACTCACACCCCAAAAGCTAGCTCAAAGGGAGGAGGATTACCCAAGCCTTATAAGGAGTCCACCTATCTCATTAACCACCGATGTGAGACTTTTGTCATTCTTTAACACCCCACCTCACGCCCAGTGCTTAGCATCTGGTGCGTGGACAATTTTGATTTTGGGGGCCCCAACATCGGGTGAGATGGGCCCTGCTCTAATACCATGTTAAATTAGGTCTTAGGCCTAACTCACACCCCAAAAGCTAGCTCAAAGGGAGGAGGATTACCCAAGCCTTATAAGGAGTCCACCTATCTCATTAACCACCGATGTGAGACTTTTGTCATTCTTTAACACATTCCAAGTATACTATATATATCCTGTACTTTGGAGAATCAAATCAAGGTACTTCTTTTACTAGTAACTAACAGAGTCAATTTGTTTGAGGACTTAAGATAGTAAAACGGACTTTTGAATCTTGAGATCTTGGACTAAAATAAAAAGATAGTAGGTTCAGGGGACCGGAACGATTGAACAAAGAAAAAATGCAATAACAATCCAAGAAACCAACTGCTATATTTGATTATGACAGGTTATTACTCGAAATATAACATCAAATTTATTACTCCATGAAGAGTTATTCAGTGTTGTATGAAAAGCCTGACCAGGTAGGCTTGAAGAGGTTCATCCAAACCCTCTTCGGTGGAAAAATTGCACAGTTTATACATGGTTAAAATTCTTCATGTCCTTACTTCTTCATTTTCTAAATCCCTTAGTAAAATTACTGGTTACGCCACTGATTGTATGTCAACTTAACAGTGTAAGAAGTTTATACTCTTGTCAACTGTCAAGTGGAAAAAAATTTAAATCAGTGGAAGTATACAGCATTATACCTGAGATGTTGGCAAAGGGGAAGTCATAGTAGTATTGGCAGTGGCGACCTTCAGGATCACAATAAGGTGGGCCAAGAACATCTAGTACGGCGCAGGCTGTCTTTGCTGTGAAGCAGTGCATATTACCTCCGTCAGCTGGATAGAGGATTGAAGTTTTGCAAGGAGCTTTAAACTTGGAATTCACCTTCAATTTTGCAAGACGCAGTCCTGTACAATCCCCTGCATCATTTGAGAAAGAACGATTCTGTTACTCTGACTTCATACAAGAGAAGTAAATACTTAAATAGTTGATGTCTACTATTAATGTACGGAATATAGTTGGAAAATACATCAACAGTTGCATTCATAGTTATTTGAAGTCTCAAATCTGAATTTATATAGATGACTTTTTCGGTGCAAATGCAAAAGATTTCATGCCAGTTACCATTTTTAAAGTGTAAGTTAACAAGATAAAGCAATCTGAAGAGGACTTACTGTCAGAAATATTGGCATTTGGGGTAGTTGATTCAGGAAGGAGATTGTCCGCCCAATCATAAGACTTTATGTGCATTTTCCCAAAGAGAAGCTTGCTGAAAACTGTCATTCCAGGATGGTTATGAAGAGGAATGACTGCTTTTGGTGGTAAGCAAAAGATACCAATCTAACAAAATATGAACAAACTTTAAATCTTCAATCAAGAGGAAGAAGTGAAATAGCGATTTTAACTTCTATAAACTGACAATATATTGAAGAATTTAACTATTAAGTCACCTAAATGATATTAAATTTTAGGAAAGGTCGACCTAATTGGCTACATACCGAGAATTTGTCACATTCATGGAGATGCAAGTATGTTATTTTAGGAGGTCTATCTGATACTTTTGATTTGAAATATGGCATATTTGGTCTTAGGCCAACATCTGCTTCAGTCATCTTATCTGTACAGAGGAAAATTGAGCAACTATTAATTAAAAGACCATCATATAAGGAAAAAAAAAAAAAGAAAACAAAGGATTAGTCTTCATCTTTGTATATTGTACGAGTTATTTAATTTTGATGGAACGCGTAGAAAGCAGAAAAGGTAACGGTAAGAAATTCATCCGTACCATGACGAAGAGATTTAATGAAGTAAAATTATATGTTAACTGATCATGATTAAGTGATAACTGTGTATGTTCAAACACATGTCATGTCATGTACTCATTGAATTGGTGTAAACATCCTTTTAAGTTTTATGGACTAAAGTGCAGATACTTCCCAATTCCAAAAAAAGTTGTTCCTTTCTCAACCAACAAGACAATAATTTTGATGGACTAAAGTGCAGATAAATTCAACCCAAATTCAGAAAATAGTTTTAAACCAATTCAGCTAAAAAAGAAAAGCAGTTAGAATGAAGAAGAATTATCGAACATTTATACGTCACCCTTAAGAAGGACTTTATATAGTAACACATTACCTCAATGGGGAGGAAAACTATATGACAAATGTCAAGATCATGTACTACTAAATATAACATCCGCAACAAAAATAGTATAAAAAAAAAGATAGAGAGAAATGAGAAAAAAAACGTGCAATTGTCAGTTTGTCACGAAGGTCTATCGGAAACAATTATCATAATGGATGAAGATGATCACACATTTCAACTTCAACTTCAACATAGTATTAAAGCAGATAGAGGCTAGATCGAATTTCACCGCCACCCATATCAAAACAAATTTTCACGAGATCACACACTTCAACACCTCACATACACACCACTCTCCCAGATGGCAATGGCAGAGCAGTTTCCTCAATGCCAGATCATGCCTCGTTTTCTAAAAGTTGTTCCTAAAAACACGCACTTGTTTCAACACTAACAGAATCGCTGCGGCAACATTTTATACACATGTTATACCAATAAAAAAAGTAGTAGAAATTAAACAAATAATGACGCCAAAGCAAAAGAAAAAGTTCAGCAAAAAAGAAAAAAAACAATTACAGGTTTATACATATATAGAAAAAGCAAACAGAATAAAAAAAACATACCCAAAACTGCCTTGACAAGTTCAACATTTTCCGGTGACGGCACAACGCCAGGTTTGCAATTAGCGAAAACCTGTTTGCAAGTTCCATAGAGTTTCTGAACCCTTGTAATTCCTATTTTCCTCCGCTTCCGCTTCTTCTTCAACTCTCCGTTCTCGTCACCCTTTCGATCGATTTTCTCCGTCATCATAATCCAAATATTGAGTAATTCGAGAAAATCCAGAAAAAGAGCAGCACAATTTTACTGTACTGTTCTATGAACAGTATTGTACATGTATGAGTTGCTTACAAATTATGAAAATTTACAAATCTCTGCTGCTGCTGCTGTGTTGTGCCTGACGAATTATTTCAATGAAAAAAAGAGTAGAAAGTTGAGATGTATATAAATGGAGAATAATGGATAGCGATGGGTGAGAGAGCTGCATAAGTATATATTATAGAAAATGAAAAGGAGTGGGAAAAATGAAAAACCAGGGGCCATTTTTCCAATGGGCTCTTCTAACAGTGGATTTTGTTTTTCCTTTCTCCTTCCCAAAAAAAAAACACCAAATTGTATTTCACGCCCTGCAGGTATTAGTAATTGTAGGTATAGCAACATAAAAATTAATTGTAAGTATAATTTATATACACTATTAGTTATAAAGAAAATAGTTATTTATGTATTAATTAGATATATTAATTTTTATTCTGTATAAAATAATATATATAAAATTCCTCCTAATTTATATACTATGTATTATACTTGTGGAATTTTTAATTACAAATCAAATACATTATTAATTTTATAATTTATACATATATTAAATATGTAAATTTACATAATAAATCAAATATAATATTAATTTTATTCATAAATAAATCACCTCCTAATTAACTATCAAAACTATAGTACTATTATTTATATAAAATTTTATGCCTATGTAACTCACTTTCAAACAATCGATCAAACGACTCCTTATATGTAACAATTTTTTGGTAGGCTTCTAATAGGATTTTTCAATTAAGGGCGGAGAGAGTTATGTTGTTTCCTTGCCATTATCAAATTATTTTTTGTCTTTTTAACTTTTACTTTTGCTATTTCAATTTATAGGTACAATTCGAATTTTGCAAGTTTAACTATAAAATTATACGGTTTTTGAAAAATATAAAATTTATATTTTTTATATATATATATATATAAATATATTACTAAATTATAAATAGTTAATAGTTTAAAATACTTCAAACTTTTAATTAGGTAGGTGATACTCCATAATGCCTCCACGTGTAATTCATGTGATACTAAAAGAGTCCACCCGTCTATAAATACCTAATTCGCAGTAAAATCCAACCAACAGTTTTGGGCTAACCACCCCTCACTTACACCTAGTTTGGATCGATGTCACTATTATATTGTGTTGTTAATTTTTGTTATTTAAATTTTATTGGATCATATTATTTAAATATATTATTTAGTAATGATGAAAAGCCTTATTTTATTTAATGATTAATTTAGTTACTTATTATTTAATAATTTTATCTTTTTTTATCATATTTTTTCACAATAGCTTAACTTCATATTCAACCTTTCTGGTAAGTCTATAATTTAAATTATTGATGTATCATATTATGTAACGACGGAGAGCATATAATTAATATATCCAAATGTTGTACTTAATTAAACAATACAATATAATACAATACAATCTAATATATTATGAAATAATACGTAACAACCATATCAAACAATGCGTAAAAATCAACTAATTGCATGCTTATACTCTGTTTATTCACATTTACGTGTTGGATTTTATTTTTTCGAGAGTTAAATTGTATGAACTTTAATTAATATTTTAACATGTATTTTTCTATCATATTACTATAAAAAGAAATTATAATTTTTATATTTTTTTATATTTAAAATTAGTATAAATTAACCTCTCCAAAAAGAAATGTGACAAGTAAAAGTAAAACTGAATCCAGGGAGTAATTTGGGGTGCAGATTTTCAGAAATTAATAACTTTCCTGCGCATTTTGTATGTATATTAAAAAAAATTATTGAATATATAAGAAATATTTGTTCAAAATTTAGTAATAAAGTAGTCCCTTTGTATAGTGATAGTGATGAAATTTGCTTAAGCTTTAATTTGTTCCCCTTCTATTCCTCCTGGACACTTAAATTGATAACTCATTAAATTCAATTTTTGAATCATACCTTTTATTTTAATTGAAACAAAAATCTATATAGTATTAACATCGCAAAAGTTTAAAGAAAAGAATAATAAATACGAAATATTTATTTTTTAATGGATAAAATTTCAAAATATTAATTTCTTGAAGCAAGAAAAGGGGTACAAATTAAAGTCAATTATCCTCTACCTCTTTATGAATTCATATTATGAAATCCGGTCTTATTTCTTTTAAGCATTAAGCAATAAGTGTTACACCTAGATCTCTTTATGGAATTTATTTGTGCTTAACTTTTTAAGAAATTAAATAAAGGACAAATTACTTAACTACACTCCTTTACTTACCTTAATATCCATTTATCCCTACTTATTTCAAAATTTTCAAAAATCTCTTATTTACCTATGTATCCCGTGCACAATGCTATGTATCCCGCTATGTGGAATGTATCAAACTCTATGTATCCCGTGCACAACGCTATGTATCCCACATATATCCCGTGCACAACGCTATGTATCCCGCTATGTGGAATGTATCAAACCTAATGTATCCCGTGCACAACGCTATGTATCCCGCTATGTGGAATCTATCAAACCTAATGTATCCCGTGCACAAAGCTATATATCCCGCAAACATCATTTTTAAGGGATTTTTGGTAAATAGAAAACTAGAAGGGATATGATGTTATTTAGTACTTATAATATGTGGTTCCTATAATTTATACTTAAATAAATACTGTGGTTTGTAAAAAAAATTCTAAAGAAGCTACGTAATTTAATGATTTACTCTTAATTGACCAACGACTACGAAATTAAATACGTAATAAAATGAATTAATTTCTTATCTAAGGGCTGCTAAATCCACTTGAAATAATTTGGTATATATGCATGTGTCTTTTCAACTTGATAAATTTGGACAAAACTACATCCAAATGATATCAAATTTCTATATAATTAAAGAGTGAAATGAAAAGTATTTGCCCATAGGACAAAAATATGACCTGAAAGTTGAAATAGTATTATTTTCACAATTATCTCTAATGAGTTTACTTGATTACAAATAAGGTTCAACCAAAGTAGAAGCAGTAGTATATATGGAATTTCCAATTTAGCCTAATTATTGAGGCGTCGAAATGCTTGAAAATTGAAATTATCTATCTTTAATAAGAATTGGCATGACGATCGATCTAAAGGAACCCAACACAATTTTATTTTATTTTAAAAAAAAACACAAATGACAAGTTCTATATATACTTGTAGACTGTAGTATTTGTAATTTGAACGAAAATATTCTCCATGATGCACAATTGATCATGGCGTGACGTGAATTTAAGTGCCCAAAATGTATACACTTTTAAAGTTGAAAAAATAATTGATAGTTTCATTTTTAGAAAATATCTTATATATATATCGACCAAAATATAAAACACATGTTTGACTTGACATAAGAAGGCTATGTAATATTTGAAAAGATAGAACAAGTAAAGATACATCCGAAGCTAGGTGGGGTTCGTCGATACGGACGAATATAATAGTTTTTTTTATATTTTATATTTGTACTAGAAAATAAATAAATAAATATATATATATTAACTTATGAATCTCTAACAAAATTGATTGATAGCTTAATAGTAATGTTTTCCACGCTAGAGTTGTGGGTTTGAATACCACTATCAATAAAACATAAAATCTTTTAAAAAAAATTTAGAACCCCAAAACTTTTAATGCCGGCTCTGTCGACAATATTGGACTAAAGTGATACTCAAATTAGACACGTCGATCCTGCAGATATTCAAAATATTATACTATAATTATTTTTCTGAATTGGGAGAATATATTCATTATTACTCCTTCTCCACATTTGATTTCTTGTTTTAAACTTTCTTTGGCTGAATTGAGAAAAAAGTTAGGAAGTAATAAAACGTAACTATGACCAATGAATTAGAAGAAAAGAAGATATAATAATAATAATAATATAATCAGTGTAATATCATCCAACAAGTAAAGTTTAAGGAGGATAAGTGTACTTCCAAAATAGAGAATTGTTTTTGATAAATTCTTAATTTAAGAAAAACACATGAAAGCATATCGAAAATGAAATAACTAAATGACACATAAATAATATAGGAAATAATATTGTTGACATTGTTCCGTTGAAAAAATATGTAAATATATTGCGTGCTTTCACACACACGGATCAACAAATATAAGTGTACGTACAATATTAATAATTGATTGCAACAATCTTCTCCAACATACTACGCACATGCCCAGTAACGTGTTTTTAGCAAATAACATAAGTAAAAGATCGATAAAATTAGTTTATGAAAATATAATTGTAATGCATTAATGACTGATGCATTTACCAACTCAATAGATCACCCTAACCTTAAGGTATTAATCTTATGCATTTGAGTGCCTTATTAATTGATCCATAAGTTCCAAAAATATTTTGTGTTAAATTAAAATTTATTTCAACCTGTATATTTTTCATTTTAAGTAAATAATATGAAATCATTTATTACATCTATTTTACTATTTCAATTAAGACATATTCTTATATCGACTGAGACGTTTTAAAAAAAAAGATACAGTAAAAGAGTTTAGAGTATTTTATGTGATATTAATAACCTCCACTGGCCAGAATAAAATAACTTTGCTTACCAATAAGGATTGTGATGGAGTGATAAGTATTTCTTCATTCTTAATTAGAGATCTCAAATTTGAATTCTCTTGGATACAAAATCATCTTTGTTTGGGAGTGCTTTAACCACCACAACGTGGAACTTTCCAGCACGAATCCGAATTTAGTCAGCTCTAATATAAATATCGGACACTAAATCAAAACCAAAAAAATAATAATTTTGCTCATGAATAAACTTAAATGGATTGTACGGAATTACTTTTTCTTAATTTTTCTTGTACATTCAATTACTCCCTCTTGTCTAAGTGTATTGTTTGGATTCTTTTTCTTTCATAGTTCAAAATAGGTTAATTGTTTAAAGTTTAATAATTTTCTTTTATATTTATCATTTATTTAATGAGATTCTTAACTACTTTACATTTTATAGGAGACTAGTCTGAGAATAATGAAAAGGACAAAATAAAAAATACTAATATTCATGATCGTGTCCTAAAATATATTTTTTAAGGGGTATGACATACCCAACAATCACTCTGTTACGTTTCTGATCTCTCTCTTGTCCCATATTCAGAATCCCACAGTACAGTACAGTACTGTACGCCCTTGGTTTATAATCCATAGCTTCAGAAAAGGTTTTCTCAGAAGCAAAGTCATTGCAATTTGGTGGCTCTAGTAACATCATCG